CCTGCCTCTAACCTTCATGGATGCTGATTTAACTGAACTCCCAACACCTGCAGTGTCGGTCCCTGGCTCCTCCTGATGATCACTAACCTGACACTGACGCAGGTTGCAAGCTCCCTAGTGTTGACGACCTGCATCAGACGAGGCTCGCTTCTTTCACTGAGCCTCCAAACTCCACACAGGCGATCTAACCGCACAGCAACACAACCTGTGAACAAATGTGCAGAAATGTCTGCATGGCCTGGAGGAGACTGTAAACCACATTAAATTCCTCATGGCATTTAAAATATATTTCTTGTTCTCACTTTCATTGAACAGGGAGGTGGAGCTGATCTGTCTGATGGGGCCTTTCAGCTGGACGCTGAATGGGTCGCTGCTGGTGGCATCGAGAAACAAGGAGCTGTCTTGGTCCTTCAGCGCCACTCTGTGGAAGTCTGGGGTACTGTGTTAAGAACCAGAACCAAGAGGAACACAAAGCAAGAAAAACACTGCTTGTCTTCACACCTCCACCTGACCCATTTCTACATCAGAAAACTGTGGTGCACGTGTTTTTGTCATGAAATCCACTGGGAAGGAAAGCAATATAATTTAGTCTGAAAAAATGAATAGAATCAGCTTTCAAAAACGCAATATGAAATATTGTACACTCTCCTTCATACTTGGAGCAATGGACTTGTTCCAGCCTGAACAAAATCATACTTGGACTAGAAACCCAGTTTGCTTGCAATCAACTGGTAAAATAATCAGCCAGTTACTTCACCACCATCTTTTTGTACTGGTAAGACAAAATAACCTTGGAGGATTAAACACCCTGATGGATTTTTAAATCTTGAAAACTCCAGTATTCCATCTGATCTGCAGGATACTGAGGCTGTCCCGTCCCTTGTTGCTGGGGTAGAGCAGGCAGCCATGCTGACAGCCACTGCTGCTCTGTGAGAAGGGGATGAAGGCCAGAGCACCGCCTGTGACTCCTTCAGAGAAGAGCAGGCGGTCTCTCTGCTCCATAAGCTCCTCGTGCAGCAGAGCACCTAGCAGCTCAGGAGGGATGGAGTGCACCACATCCGACAGCAGGGCACTGTAGGCATTCAGCTCTTTGGAGGAATACGTCTGCTCACATCTGGAACAATGTTTCAACATGATGACACAAAACAAGAGATATGTACAGGTTCAAAATCTTTTCACATCTACAGATGCTCACGACCACATTAATCAACCAGCTTCACTCACATTTTAAAGTTCAGCATGTCAAGGAAATTTTGCAGCTTCCACATGCTGATTGAATCCTTCGGATACCTCTGACAAACAACAAAAGATAGAAAATCTATTGACATGAAAACCAACAAACACTGCCTCCAGCTGAGACTGTTTACACCAAAGAAGCTTTTCTTCAGTGTTTGTTATTTTAGTTATACTAAAAACAGATGTTAAAAATCCACCAGTGACTGATCAACATCTATTTAAGCTTTAAATGATCACTGATCAACCATAGTGGTTGACTGATTAGGGAAACCGTGGAAAACTTGTATCCACACATTATATAAGTCATACAATATGGTGTCAGCAAATAGCTTGTCTAGCAAGCACTCAAAAAATAAATAAATAAATGAATAATTGTCTTGTGATAGAAAGTCTAATGTAGTGAAGCTCACCTCTCTGACTCCTTTTTTAAAGCTGAAGTTTACACCCAGAATTTCAGCCATGCACCCAAAGGCATCCTGGCTGTGATCCATGAAAAAGTTCTGCATCTAAATAAAAGACATGTTTGAAAACCTCAAAATACAGAACAAAACAACCAAACAAAAATATCTGAGGCTGTCTTCACAGTGGTAAATATGAATCTGATCTGATGGTTTGGATGAATTCATTACTTTCCCTAGATTATGAACCAAAATGGCTCATTTTCCATGTTACCATCCAACTGTAATCTGAGTGACAGCGGGAATATTTACTAAGCCTGTCACAAATTCCCATATTAGGGCAAAGCAATTTTTCAATTCAGCTGCATATATACCAACCCTGATGATGTACAAATACAGCCACAGCTGTGTTCACTGTATTGAGATCCACTCAATACAATAAACTAGCCACAGAGAGGGAACATAACATAGGGCATTAACAAAGTACCCACTACATACAGTACATCATCTTAAAAGCGAGACAATCCCCAGGTGGTGTTTGTACTCACATGTTCTGTGAAGTCCAGTGGATCTGGAGGTGTTGAATGCCCAAGGAAAGCTGAGGAAACATTTACATGCATACATTTATATATACATATAATAAAAACAATAAGTATAGTACAAACAAAGAAAAAAACTGATGAAAAGAATGGATACAACAGGATTGAGGGTGCTTGTATTAAACTTAAAACAGTCTTATTCTTTACCCATCTCCTAGATTGAAGGTTCACAACCTATTTTCCTTGTAACACATTCTGACTACTGCATGTTTATGACTGTTCTACTATAGATATCTGGGAATTTGAAATATATGATGATATTTACCAGCTTCACAGATCTGACAAGGGTTGTGGATTGTTGATCAAATGGAACAAGCAATTTCAATACTTCACTTTGGGATGTGGAAAATAATTACTGGCATTTTTCACCATTTTCTGATATTTTTAGACAAAGTAATTACAGAGTTATTTCCTCAATTAATGGAAGCCATAATCTGCAGAATAATCTATACTTAAAATAATGCTTGAGAGCTTATACAGCATACATTTTGGGTACTTTTTAGACACAAAACAGTGAGATAACTGGCTGAAAAACCTGCTCCTCCAGTGTTCAGCCATTGTAGTTTTCCATCTTTATTTACTTATACAATTCAGATACCAAGTATGGTCTCTCGGACCTGCTTCACAACTTCTAATCTTAGTTGGAGGGCAAACGGGGACTGCTGCCTGAGACCCGAATGACCTCCAGTGGGATGAAACTGGCTTTTGGGACTCACAGTGTTTAGGAGGCAGGAGGGGAATCGGCACTGGCTCAGTGTGATGCCATATCTCCCCTCTGACCTGATGTCTGGAAGTAAATGTCCAGCTGGAGAGAGGACCAGAGCCACCCTGAAACCACAACCAGAAAGACTGACAACACCAACACTGAACAGATGACATTTTCAAACTACTGATCCACTCCAACTACAAAACCAAATAATGGCAATCAGTTATATTTTCTGTTGATGGACTAACTAAACAATCACATTAGTCACATAGGAGGCTCCAAACTTTAACAGTGGCCCAAATGTCTCCTGTTTCTCTATCACTGAACACAATTTGTATCCCATAATTCCGATTTAGCATAATGATGTACACCTAATAAGTCCTTACAATTTAAACTTATAGCCTAACTTTAAACATATACGGTTTCATTCAATTGCTTCTTTTAGGACAATTTTCTAGCGATGTATCCATTTATCTGGGGTTTATTTGGTATTCAGTGTTTCTTTACCCGGTGAATCACTGCCCTATAACTACAGTTCTCCCACTGAAATGGAAGATGGCTTGTTTTTCCTAAAGTTCATATGCTGCATGAATAATTTCACGTAACCTTTGTATCTTTATGGCATAAAACTGTTAGTTATAAATCTCTACTGCAACCTTCATTTTATGATCAATTTAATTAGAAAGCATATTAGTAAAGTTAAGTAACGTTATTGTCATAATCCAACCTATCTTGTGTACATTCATAGTCATGTTATATTTACTACAAAAACACAGAAATGTGTTCTGGAGTCATTTATTTAAGCTACGTATTAGTTGAGACGGCACTGTGCAGACAGCTGACCCACCTGAGGCCTGACTCGGCCGTAGGAGCCCCAGTCTCCAGCGCAGTGTTTCAGGACCAAGTCCGGCGGTCCACAGTTGTAAAACGAAGGAAAAAGGTGCTGAGGGAACTGGTACTCCATCTCGTTTGTTACTGGCGAATTATAACCAAGTTTTGTATGTGTCGCTGTTCCCTCTCAATCTCGTGGTGTCAGGGAACGTGTCCGGACATGTTTCTCTCCGGCTCAGCTAATGTTAGCTCCATAGCCCTCTGCTGTCAACTAACTCCAATCACTTTCTTACATTTAAATCATCATAACACAGCTCAGCTACACAAAGTACAAAATGTATACATCCAGCCAAACAGTGCTGCCCTAAGACACAAAATGTGTTCAAAATGCACACAACCAACAGCTTACCACAGAACACGTGCAAACCACCACCTGAAAACGCTTGCGAACAAGAACACTTCCGGTTTGATTTTTTTTACACTTAAATTTGAAAAGCTAAGTTTTCTGGACCATAACATATACGGTGGCATGACACGTAAAAATATTGCAATAAAAATATTTAAAATGGGCCATAATTTCTTATATGTTTTCATTAGATGCATGGCTAAAGTAAACGCACAATAAACTAATCAATAACAAAAAAATTGTTTGGGTTTTTATTTGAAGAATAAATCACATGTCAGATGTTTTCAGGTCAGAAAATGTATCAAGTAAACAGATTCAGGCGTTCAAGCCCCATCCACTAAAGGTGACTATGCAGATAGTTACTCCAGTAAGCAAATAAAATATCTTTTTTAAAATGTCCACTGTTTCTAAAACCAATAACGACCGTTCAGACATTAATAGATAAATACAATAAAGTAAACTGATTCAGCAATAAAATTCTTCCACATATTTTAATTTAATCTTTAGTATTATCTTATATATTGACATTTGACGCGTCATTTCATCAATATAATGAAAAAAAATGCTTACACAGTAGTACAAATAACGAGGAAATGCTCCATAAATAAATAAATACCTTTATTTTGAAGACACCGGATGTGGCTTTCAGTTGTCGCGTGATCAGCTGACCGAACAGCTCAATTTTGTCGTGGGACAGCAGCTAAAAACAAGACGAAAAGCAGGATAAGCTGTATTTCTGATTCTCAAAGAGGAAACCTTTATTGACAAATTTGCTGCTAGAAGGAAATGATTCGTTAGGACATTATTTTTCTGGTACGTGTGTACAATTTTCAATTTTGCATTTTGGTTCCGTTAGCCGTGTAGGTAACTCCGGAAATCGCAACACTGCAGGTGTAATTTAGCGTTAGCACTTCACAGATCACTGCACATCTATCTTAACCTGTCCTCTAACGTCCAAGTCCGATTTGCATTTTTGGTTAAAATGTCTGCTGAATTCTCCTGCTGGTTTTCCTTCAGGTTCAACTGACTGTCCTGCATCATAGTATAGATTAAATGTTTCCCCGATAATCCTAAACCCTGTTGCGCAGGTTTTAAACTTGAATTAAACACCAAGGTAATTTATTAGATGAAACTTGACAGCAAAAATGCTGAGGCTCTTATGTGAAAGTGTGTACTGCGTGTTGTTTATCTCTTGTCAGAGGGACCACAGCTGTTTCTGTGCGCGTCTTCGTGACAGGACCGTGAACATGAGCAGTGACATGACGAATGCGTCAATTCAGTTTAACAATCTCAGTGATCATGCATCTATTTATAATTAAATCGATATCTGTAGATACTGTGTTTATCTATTTATCTGAATAAATACCCACTGAGCACAATGTATACATAGATTCATTTGATTTCATTTCCTGCAATACGACTAACAGCAGCGTTAATGCCTGGAATTTGTACTCAGCATCTGTCAGAGCACTTGATGAAGTTACTGGTACCAGGATCAGGTCTGGTAAACGTGGTATCATCACGCCTCTACACATAAGGAGAAAAAAATTATATCCTGTAATGGATGGCTTCAGAAAGTGATGGAATGGAATGAAATGCACCTTTTTCACTGTCTTTCCAAGAGTGAGCTGAGTAGACCATTGTCATTGTCATTGTCATTGTCTGTCTGTCTGTCTGTCTGTCTGTCTGTCTGTCTGTCTGTCTGTCTGTCTGTCTGTCTGTCTGTCTGTCTGTCTGTCTGTCTGTCTGTCTGTCGGTCTGTCTGTCTGTCTGTCTGTCTGTCTATCTATCTATCTATCTGATCTGTTTTTTGCAGGATGACATTGGGGTGGGTGGCTGTGGCTCACGAGGTAGGGCAAGTCGTTGTCTGACCAGCAAGTTGATGGTTCGACTCCTGGTCTCCCCCCATGCCTCAAGTGTCCCTGAGCAAGACACTGAACCCCGAATTGCTCCCGGTGGCTTGACTAGCACCGTTGTGCGGCAGCCTTGTCGTCATCAGTGTGTGAATGGGGTATGATCTCCCTGTAAAGCGCTTTGGCCAGTGCAACACACTGTGAAAATGCGCTATATAAATACAGTCCATTTAGCCTAGCCTAGCAGAGCATTAATATTGTAAGCAGGAGAAGCAGCTAACCGAATTCTGTCCATAGTTCAAAAATGCACCAACACCACCTTTGAAGCACTAACTAATTTGGTGCACTTGTTTGTTTTAAGTGCCCATGGCATGCTCACTTTGCTCTTTTCCAGCCATTTAAGGTTTAATCTTGAGATCTAGATTAGCTTTGCACCCCCCATAACTCCAAATAGTCTGTAATTATTTCAGAACGATAAAACCAGAGAGCCTCATCCTAAAAACAATAGGGTAGTTCATGAACTTGCACACCTCTTGCGTCCAGTGTTGTGTTGAAAGTGGCCAGCACAAGGAACAGCACCGAGGGGGGGCTTCACAGGCCGGCTGCTTGTAGGTTAGACCCAGTTAGGTAAAACATTGAGTCCCTGTACAGGAACATTCATTACATGCAGTAACCTCAAGCCCTGTATTTTTCTCCATATCCTCTGGTCACAGTGCAGCAGTAGGAGGTAAAATGTATCCACAAAACCGCACACAGTAAAAAAAAGTTCAGCTTTTACAATGGCACTGGTGCATGTCCCTTTTTCTTCTTTTTTTAAAATAAGCTTTATTGAAAATATACATAACAAACAAGGCAATATAACAATTTGCCAATATGGTGGGGGCACTGGTGGATGTCAAACAAGCTCACATGAAAGCGCAAATGCCTGGAGATTATGACCATTCAAGGAAATCCATAAACAATCACGTAATACTTTACATAGCTGGAGAAAACGTCTTGCAAGGGAGAGTTCACAGGGCTTCTATAGACAGAGTTGCTTCGGCATAGAAGTACTAGAACATACGTAGACCTCATTTTTGGGCTTCAGGTCACATCTAAGATGATGGTTCACTGTTGTAATATTGTAGAAAAATCAGAAAACAAAAGCATGCCATGGGCTCTTTAATATATACACAAACATAAATGTAAAAATGACCATTTGTGATTGGTACAGTTTATCCATCTGCCCAATACTTCTGTGCATCTGCAGCATAGGTTGCCAGATATGGTCAGAGAGCACAGGTTTTAGCTTTCGTCATTGTACAGGGAAAATCTCTAGGAACTGCTCGCAGTTAATACATCTGGTTGTTAAAAACAATTCAAACATAAAACTTCCCCTAAACCCACACAATCCAGATGCTGCTACTTTTTTACAACATCAGTGCATCAGTGCTTTCATTTTTGATCTCTTTCTCTGTCTTATTGCATTTATCTTCTTTACTCTTCTTCTTTTTTTCCAGGCACATCACCACAATGTCGGGGAACAGCCTGGTTCTACCAATAGTGCTCTGGGGCCGCATGGCTCCCACTCACTGCATCAGCAGCCTGCTGGTGATGGACGACTTCAACACTATCATCACTGGCTGCCATGATGGACAGATCTGTCTCTGGGACATGACCCCTGAGCTGGAGGTACTGGTGGTGATGTCACCTGTCTGATGTTTATTCAGGTTCTCTTCTTCATACTGTTAACCCTCTCTCCTCTCCCTTACTTTCCTGCCTCAGATTTGCCCCAGAGCCATATTGTTTGGACATACAGCCTCCATCACCTGTCTTTCAAAAGCCAGTGCATGCAGTGACAAACAGTACATTGTCAGTGCATCAGAGAGTGGGTGAGTACATTTGTATCACACGTCTACATGTCAAAAGTTCCATATAGGTGGATCATACTGATAGCGAGCTGTGAAAATGCATCAAAATGGATTTGGATCTAGAATTTGTCTCAGCATCGTCTAAAAATTAGTCAAAAATCTTCTGCATATATTTTTTGTTGTGCACCTGTGTGATGTCTCCATGTTGATTCTTATTTTATTATGTTCATAATGTTGATCTGTTTATTTGTCATTTTCTGTGTTATTCCATTTGTGTTCCTTACTGTGTCTTAATTTGGTTCATGTTTCAGGGAGATGTGTTTGTGGGACGTGAACGATGGGCGTTGTATTGAGTTCACCAAGCTGGCCTGTGCTCACACTGGTATACAGGTAAGATGCATTCACAAAATACTAGAGAAGTCTCACAGAAGCACTAATGAATGAAGGCCTTCACAAACAAAGGATAGGTAAAAACATTGAGGGTTGTGCACCTTCTTCTACTGTAATACTGTAGCTGGTAAATTCATAATAACATACATTTTCATAGCACTTATTCCACTCAGTGAATCAAAGTTTCACTTCCAATTTTTAACACAAACCATTCACTAGTTATTTTTCTATCACTTTTTTCATTCTCTAGTAAGCTCTTAGTCGGTAAAAGTCAACACATCTTGCCAATTTCTCAGATTAAAAGCCTACGAGGAAAAGGATGGCTTTTGCCTTTGAAGCAGTTGGACGAATAAAACTCGGTGTTTATTGATCAGATTGTTTCTTTACTCTCCTCCTGTTGTCATCTCTCCTCACTTTTTGCTCTCTCTGTCTCTCCTCCATGTTTGTTTTCTGTGGTTCTGCAGTTCTATCAATTCACCATCGGTACTCAGAGAGAGGGACGTCTACTTTGTACTGGCCATTACCCGGAAATACTTGTGGTGGATGCCACCAGCTTGGAGATCCTGTACTCGCTGGTGTCTAAGATCTCTCCTGACTGGATCAGCTCCATGAGCATCATCCGATCCCACCGAACACAAGGTGAGAGAAAGCCGTGATTCCTTTTACTTATTTCATCTCTCAGTGTGCAGTTTGTGTTACTGACCTCTCTTTGTATTAATAGTCCTGCAGCTGTACTTTAACGTGACTGTTAAAGTTGCTTATGTTAGCCTGTTAATATGTTAAATGATTGATACACTAACATGTTACAAGTCATCATGTTCCCCTGCTAAATCTACACGTTAGTATGCTGCCATGTTAACTATTTATAGGGAAACTGTTGTAAAATGCACTAACTGTAGTTTGCGGTGTCTCGCTGTAGAGGACACAGTGGTAGCAGTGTCAGTGACTGGGATTTTGAAGGTCTGGATCATCACAGCTGAAGTCAGCAGGATGCAGGTACACCACCCTGTAGATACATGTTTATTTTAATTATACCAGCACTCTTGCGTCAGAGCTCTGTATACTGCTGGAAAAATGTGCAAATGCAAATTAAAGTGAACTGGTCTTTACTGCTTTTCTTATGACTATTGACATTTTTATATTAGTTTAGCATTATATGTATGTAACATACACTAACATAAATACACCTTCAGTTTATTTAATCAAAAAAAAAAAAATTACAGATCATGAAACATTTCAAACACCTTCAGTTTATGCCACCTCAGGCTATACTTTGTAACTCATGTGTCTGTGTGTGTTCAGGATCTGGACCCAGTCTTTGAAGAAGAGTCCAAACCCATCTACTGTCAAGGCTGTCAGAGTATTTCCTTCTGTACCTTCACCCAGAGCAGCCTGCTGGTTGTCTGCTCCAAGTACTGGAGGGTAAGAGTATTCAGAGTATACTGGCAAAGAGTACTGGATGGGTCTGAGATTACAGCAATAGCCTGACCTGACTTTAGCTGATAAATACATTAATAAACATGCCTATTCATCTTTATCATGTGTGTGTCAGGTGTTTGATGCAGGTGACTACTCGTTGCTCTGCTCGGTGCCCAGTGACAGCGACCAGGTGTGGACTGGAGGAGAGTTCATTGCTGCAGACAAAGTCATCATTTGGACCGAAGACGGCCGCAGTTACATCTACCAGCTCCCCGCCAGGTAAACCTACTTTGGGTGTCACATCAGTGCTCGGTATTATCTGATGGTATAAACACCACAGAAGAAGAGCACGGAATCTCCGTTGATGGTCAGCTAAAGTCATGGGAGCTGTATAAGCAGACATGTTAGGCATCTGTGGGTTTTTCTTATCATGTTCTAAACTTAAACCTATTGTCTCTGTGTGTTTGTTCCCCAGCTGTCTGCCTGCTAGTGAACATTTCCGCAGTGATGTTGGGAAAACCAAAGAAGGCTCAATCCCTCCCCTGGTCTACAGCATCGCTGACCGCTCAGACAAACAAGTCAGTCCTCTGTCCACTTATCAGTTCTTCAGATTACACATTCAGGCAGCAATACGTCAGATGCTTTAGAACAAAACTAAGAAATGGGAAAATAAATAATTTCTGTAATTTCAATATTAGTAGACAATGAAACTAGTGAAGTTGTTGTGCACGGTCCCCAAAAAACAATGATACCACAGTGAAATTCACAATCGTCAAGTTGTAATTTCCACCCACCACATGATTTTTCTCGCTTCATTAAAAAAGGAACTATGTAATGATGATTTCATATTGCATTGCAATATCTAGCAAAATGTTGTAAAACTAAGCTTTTGTATTCTTTCTTTCTCTGCCTGACAATTTCAGAGAATAAGTTTAAGGTGATTGAACGTGAGAGTTCACAAAATCATACAGTATATGGATAGGTAACAATACTGACAAATTACACTATAAAAAGATTTTAATCAGGATCTGCTCTTTTCACAATTACCCATTTCCAGGTAAAGATAAACAAGTGTGAGCACAAAGTGTTGACAATGCAAAGTGAGAAATTTAAATGGAAAAGCCTTCCATAATTCTCACCAAGGACTATTTGACAGTCTTGGAAAGAATGGAACTGATCAGAAAAGTGTTTATGGCTCATGCCTGCTGCACACCAGAAAACCTATGTCATTCAGTTGTAGACATTATTATCCAGGATGTTTTGATATCTTCTATACTACTCGAGGCTAAAAACTATCAACATACTATTTCTATCTAATCCACTCTTAACCAGTGCTACTCTAATTTACTGGCAGACGTTAAAGCCAGAAGCGGGGGATCTCAATGATATAGAGCTTTCCAGATATTTTAATAATGATGATCTCAGCCATATGAGTTGAGCCGGCCCAGCACAGTTTACTGAACAGACAGCTCAAGTAAAGTCAAGATTTTTATTTGCCATCTATGCATAAACAGACAGTCTAGGCATATAGGAACTCTTGTGCAGCTCGCCTTTGGAATCAGGTAAGGAGTCAAAAGCCAGAAAGAACACTTAAAATAAAAAAGCTGTCATACTGCCTGCACTACTTGTGTGTTGCTTGCACATTTGGATTTATTTTTACTTGCATACTAAAAGGAGGTAATTAGTTGTTTGATAGAACTAGACTGAAAACAAGTCACGTACCAGCCAGACCTCCTGCACTGATCAGGACCACGCTGTTCAAACGTGGCTTAAATAATCCAGTCATGATGCTAGCGGTCAACAACAGTATTGCACTGCAGTAGGCACTAAATGCGTGACTGCATCTACATATGTATAGTTCTTTTTTGGCAGTGTATCTGTGTTTGTCTGTATGGATGGTCTGTTTGATTTATTCTGATCAAGGCTTGCTTCATGCACATGGATTAGACCTGGTGATGTTTTAAAGCTCATAGGGCAAGAATAGTCGCTCACATTCTGGAGATATTGTCAGCCTGCACCTGAACTGTTTACACTGATTTTTATTGACAAAATGAATCAATGAAGATCGGCCTTTAAAATGATGACAGGGATGTCATATGCCTGCCAGTTTCCTTTACTGTTATACTTTCTTGAGAAGATACTGAGTGTGACACGCTCGCACAGTTAAAGCCCAGCTCTCCATGAAGTAACAGAAGGAAGGAAATAATGTTGTTCAAAACCTGCTCTAATATATAAATCAGATTCTGAAAACAGCAACCAGTAACTTTATAAATGCATGTAGTACAACCTTATATACAGTATATATAAGAGTATGTATATATAAGAGAAATACTGTATAGTTCATCGGTGAATCAGTGTGGTTTGGCCATTCCCTTTAAAAAGCATTGCTTAAATGTAGGCATGGCCCACACATTTTGGTCTGTTTGCTGTTCATGCAAACCAAACACTTCAGTAGCAGTAGTTCCCTATTACAGGTAATTCAGCCTCCACTCAGTTTTTTGAGACAGCTTTTATTTGTTAGTATGGGCCATGCATATTATTTGATACTGAGCTATTATTTGAATATCAGCTTTTATTCAAAAATGTAATTAGAATCATATAATATGTAAACTTCAGATTTTTACTACCTCTGGAAAATAAAAATCATCAGTACATTGTAACTTTAAATCAGATGGAGAAGGGTTGGGTTTAATCCATGTGTGTGAACCTGACCCTTAGTGTTTTGTGTACATTTTTGATTTCATTTTGAACATTCAGTATGTTGAAATATGTGTGTATTTATAATTTATTGTCCTGTAGATATTAATTTGTCATCTGTGCCTTTTTGTTATGTTTGTTGTTTCTTTTAATGCTCTGTTCTCTGCTGCTATGCCCCCACCCACTCCTTCCTTGGACCTCCTCGCTCCTCTGAGAAGGAAGGAGAAGGAGGTGAGGAGGAGGTGGTTGTGGAGGTGACGTGCCTCCCTGCCAGTGGGTGCGACTGGGAGCTCTACACCCCAGAGCTGCTATACCACCAACGGCCTCTAGAGGCGCCAGTAAGCCCCAGAAAATGCATAATGAAAACCAAAGGCAGGGACGTTTTCATGTTCTTGGCTGAGCTGCAAAAACAAAAATGGTTATAATTACACCAGTATAACATTTTAGTAGCCTCTACTTAAAATATACTCTTTATTATCAGTTTAATTCCAGACTTCATGCTATTTTCCATTCTATCAAAAATCCTAGTTGAATGTTGACATGTTGTATGCAGAATGGTTAAATTATTCTGCTGCAGCTAATGAAAGCAAAGCATTATACTGAGTGAAAAGGACCATACCACTGGTTGAGCATGCTTTATTTCATTAACTGCAAATTATTCATTCTTTATATTGTTAAATATTCAGCATTTGAATATCTCCTGTACTGATAGGATATTTGTAAAGTTAAGCCCAGAAGACAAACATAAACCCAAAATGGATGATGTTTTAAAATGACATAATCATGCTGGGAATTTCATTACCTGTTGATTCATCTTTTTAAAGAGTTTAGGTCAGAGGAGGGTTTATGCCCAACTTATCAGACAAAAGTTTTTCTGAAGTCTGACTTTGCAGCTCAGTCAGAAAGCGACCGCTAGGTGAGATGAGCAAACTGTCAGAACAACAGTGAAAACACTGACATCCACACAGTGGCTCACACTAACCTTGTACTGTGACAAGGTATTGTATGTCTCATGTTGTATATGTCTATCCTGTCTAAAGCTCTATAACTTGGTGATCTTGAGAAAACCAAACAAATGGGTGAATTTTGAATGCCTAGTTAGTTTTAAATGTGGAATAAATGCATTTATGCAAAAAGAAGAATAACTGAGAAGCTGAGAATTTATATTTGCACAGTTAAAAGTATTATGCAAAAGTTATGAATCAATAGCTGCATCATTTACATTCTAAAATGTAGTTCAACTATTATGCGTTGACTCTCTCTTGCCTGTAAATCAGATGGGCTTAGAGGGAACTTGAGCTATAAATTTCTACTCTAAAATAACATTATAGAATTTTTTTTTTTAAATTTAGCATAGAAGTGGCATTTAAAAGTGTGAATGACGTTTATCTTTTAGCAAAAGTGAAGTATTAAGAAGTCATATCAACCAATTTCAAAGGTTTGCACATCTCTTTTGCTTAATTTTCACTATTGTTTCCATGAGAAACAGAAAAGTCAACAAACCTAAAAGGAGGAGAAGAAATTAAATTACGATCAGAAGTTGCCAGATCTGGCACATATTTACACTTACACTTAAAACAAGAATAATAATAAATAGTGTCATTAGTGAAAGCATCAGATATCCTTAGGTGGTCAAAACACACCCTAAACTAACTTGATAGTTATTACTTTATTGGCTAAAACACGTGTCCAGCTGGTGATTATGAAACTTACTTCAGCCTGGTGTCTGACCTCCAGTGCAGCAGTCAGTGTTCTCCCTCATACGGCGGTCGCCAGTTACTGAGTGGACTGTGCATTTCTGCTTTTCCCAGCTTAATAGGCACAATGTTTTCATTGTTTATGACAATGCATTGTGCTTCTGTGAATCACCTGTGACACAGGTTGCACATACAGGATCTCATTTTATTATCAATGTATAGTAGTTAGTAAATGACTCTTTACACAGTCATTAAATATGTGGCCTTGATGTAGCACCACTGCTCAGTTTCCCCAAAGCTTCATAATTTTATATATTTCATACATAATTTTATTATATTTCATATAAATGTAATAATTTCTTCTGAAATTAGCAAAGGTGTTCTTCATTTCAAATGAAGCAGCATCCCTTGTAAAATACTGCGGGAAGCCCTGATGTGGAGAGAATATACTGTCTCTGTAACTTCACTGAGCATGTACAACATATACTAAAAACAACAGTGGGCCAAGAATAGGCCCTTGGGGAGCACTATAATTAGTAGAAAAAAATAACTGGTAATATTAGTCTGGTAAAAACAAATAAAAATCAGAAAGCAGATACCTAATGCAGGAGAGATTATAGGTGTTTGAAAATGAGTCTGAAGGTTCAGTTTACCTTCACAAAGTGTGAGCCACTGAGTCGATTACATTGAAGGTGAACTGTCTGTTTTGTTTGCACTGCTCTTTGTTTTCCCTCTTTCCTGACTGACAGACTGAACTCATTCTGGTTTGGCTGGTTTCATGCTCTTTTCCCACTAAAACAAATGTCCTCCTTCAAAAGCACCATCACCCTCCTCATCTGTCTTCATACTGATGAAGATGCATGCAAAGTCCCCAAGCTGCTCTTTAATCAAAATCATGACCTGCTGAGTTCCCGAGATGATAACAAACCAAAGATACACAACATGAAGTGCAAGAAATACTATAATATTTTGGAATACATTTGGCTGCCTATCCTATCGCAGGAAGATTAGTGCTTACATTGTAGATAGATATTTTAGAAAAACAAGAGTTGAACTGCAGTAAATATGCTGATGTGGCAAGATTCACATAAAGAAAAGTCACCAACAGTGAAGTTCATTCATATTTTATGCATATAAAAACAAGTAAGGCCCAATATCAGGTATATATTAGGCATGCAACTTGTACATATTTTGCTAGCTATGTTTGAATTGTGTTGTAAATTGCATTGGATGCAGATAGAACAAGAGGAAATAGTGATTCTGGCCATCAGACTTGGTTTAATAGCTCTTAGCACAAAGATTTTTTTTTATGTGTGTTTGCTTCATCCTTGTTGGGATCTCGGGTGGGTGAGGTTTTCCTATCTGAACTACCTGCAGTTAAATATCACTCACTTTTTCTCGAAGACATGATGTTCGTGGGCCACACGAGTTATTCTCAGTAATTAATCTTTAACTCCTATAAACTTCTAATCTCAGTTATAAAGAGAACCAAGACTTTATCTGACACAGGCTTATATGAGGAAGCTGCTTTTATTGCTTAGTTTCCCATTTCTTATTATATTTAATCATGTTATAGTAAGAAGTGTCTCTAGTTGCTAAGTTACCCCCTCCCCTTTAAAATTAATGACAACTTCTAAGTTAATAGCTTTTTTGTTTGTCACTTATTTGAATAATGATTTGCTTGTATTTGAGGATTTACAGGAAGGCTCACATAACTTGATGAATGAGAGGACAACCCCACCCATTTGATACACAACAAATACTTGAAAGTCATCACTGATGTTCTGTCTCTGTCTCTTGAGTGCTGTCTCTTCAAAACAGAACACTCACTGATGTGTTCACATCTTATATCAAGATGTGGTTTGTTTGTTTATGAGTGATTGTGTGTCCAAAAAAAAGCAACAACATTTGGTGGCACTTTGCACAGCTTATCAGACTATCCACAGCATTCAGATGAGCTAAACCAACCAGTCGTGGTACTCACTGGACACCTCAGCCATTCCCTCCTGCGGTACCTGTTTAAATGTTGTAGTTGCCGTGGTGACAGCAGCCCATCCTTCTTACACACCCACAGGTTCAGTAGCTTTCATCTTGTCCATCACTATCATTGTGATGATCCATCACAGTAGTGATAGACAAATTAGTTTTTCTGTATTTAGTAGGTACCTTTGTCCTATGTGTATGTAGGCCTATATATGAATATATACACAGCGTTCTCATTATGCAGCCTAAGGCCTGTGACACCAAGCTGATGGTGGGCCGTTGAACAACGTCAGGCCATCAGTAGACATCTGTCGCTCAGTGTGTCCTGCACTGTTGGTAGTGGTCGGGCCCTTTCGGTGGCTTTTCAGCTGATTCCGCACGTTGCATCACCTGCGGACCTCATCTTGAGCAGTTCTCTAATTTAGTTCTAGAAACTCATCCTCAAACTGGGTGGAGAACAGTGGATACAAAAGATGAACATGTAGCAGTGACTCTACATTATGTTTTATTAAGTTCCTTCAGATGTGCAGTTTATCTGAAAGAAAGGCTTATTTAGAAGGTCTGATGGCTGCAGTGGCTGTATTTGCTTCTGTTCACTTCAGAAATCAACAAAATGTTGTAACTTGCCCAGGTGTGGCCAAACCTCTGCATACAACTGTAAAGTGTATGTAACTGTTGTGTAAATTTTTAACTAGGGAACAAATCTATTTTTTTGTTTAATTAATTTTTTGGCGCATGTCAATATCCATTATCATACTAACACAACACCGGCTTGTATGTTAAAGTTGTACGCATTTTTGAATGACTTTATTTCTTAGACTTTTTTTTTTGTCCCTAGAGCAAAGATGTATTTAACTTTACTCTTTGTTACTCCTCTTTTTGAGTAACCATGTTTGCAACCTCTAGTAACCGTTGAGCACAATTTACAGTTTGGGGATAGCTAATTCTGTTTTAGGGTGGATTGTTCCTTTTATGGCAAAAAGCTATACTGCCTTCCCCCCATCTCATACATTATTCCGATCATGTCGCCTTTTACACCTTTTACAGTGTTGAAATGTTATAGCTCCAGCAGTAGTTATGTTCTCTAGGATATGTCATGATGAAGATGTCCAGGATCAAAAAGGTGAGGTACGTCAGGCTTCTGGTTAGGCTCAGAGATTTGAAGCAGGACTCTGCTGACCACTTTGGCAGGAAGCCTTGTAAAACTGTTACCATAAGGTGTGAAGTTGTCCTCCTGTTGTCATGACCAGTACCATGTTTAACCAGCCAAAAATCAGCCTAGGTCTCTGTGATGCTTGACAAAACTGACCTCATCTTTAACTTGGTCCTGCTGTAACAGTGGACCCTTGGTGAGTTTCCCATCTCTTTGTTTAAACCTGTCAGGCTCTCATGTATCCAGAGTGATAGATTTGACACAAGTGTCCATGTCTATAACTCTTGATTTTGTCCATGATTTGCTTCAGTGGACAGATATTACACCTCACTGTCCTGCAGAGCTAAACCACAGGGAAACTCACCTGTTAATGGACTGTAGTAGCCACTGTAAAAGATAACTGGTCTGCTCCTCCTGGAGGCACTGGTGGGAACAAATAGGATTGCCATGCGACCAGTGAAGTTTATATGGTTAAGAAACATGTTTGCGTTGAAGCTCTGAAGGCTGAGTTTAAATAATGACATGGTATTATTTTGTATGAGCACCTGGGAGGATAGTTAGCCATAATGATAATTTGCTACCTTTATTCACATGACTGTCATACTATATGTACCTGTAGTTTTAACTCCACCTGTCCTCCACTGTGCTGCACTGGCATGCATTCTTACAGGTGGAGCAGCAGTTAAGGTGTGATCAGAACCCTTATACAGTGGCTTTAGTATTATTTCATCATTGCACTTTATGGTAAGATATTGGTGCACTCCTTAAATGAATGAAAGCCCCAGTAAAAGCTCAAACAGTATGTTAGAATCAGTCAGTATTTGCTATTAAATGGGGTCTACATGTTTAGCAGCCTGTAAAGAAGTCGGGTCCACGTGAAGGTAGTGTTTGGTTCTGTTTTTCTGCAGTTTGCTGTGTGTTGTTGCTTAGTATCTGAAGACAACCTGAGAGCAAAACCAAACATTTCACCTTCACGTGGCCCACAGATATAGAGCCAATGTGACATGAAATAAATTAAACTAATAAATGTCCAGTTGTTGTTGACTTTTCATCTGTTTTCCAGTTTGGTAGAATATTCATTTGGGGAAAAATACTATAGTCCCTAAAGAAAATATGAGCCCTCGGATAAATTTTGGGCTTCAGGCTTTCAGTTGTTAAAGCATCAATTTTCCCCCACTCTCCTTCAGCTCCTGATCTGTCCTCCTGTGACTCGGTTCTTTTTTGGCCGGCGGGAGCCCTTCTATAAGCTGCTGATTCAAGGAGACTCAGCAGGTAGACTATCCCTGTGGAGCATCCCAGATACTGCGCCTCTGCAACCACTGTCGACTGCTGCCGGTAAGTTTTGGTTGGTCTTGATGAATTGTAAAAACACAGAGTCCACATACAGCTGAAGAGTGATATTGTAAAGTTACATTTCCCCTCAGAAATGCTAGTTTGCAAGTGGAAATAAACTCCCCAAAAGCTAGTTAGATAAAAATATTCAACTATTTAAGTTCAGCAGAGTAAGAAGAATACTGACAAACTGCTTGTTCTTTGAGGAGAGGAGCTCAGGGTCACCTGATCCAGCCCTAACTAAAAGCTTTATCAAAGAGGAAAATCTTAAGTCTAATCTTAAAGGTAGAGAGGGTGTCTACCTCCCAAACTGAGACTGGGAGCTGGTTCCACAGGAGAGGAGCTTGATAGCTAAAGGCTTTGCCTCCTTGACTGTGGCTTTGACTATCTTTTTCTCTCTGCAGAGCTGCAGGTGTCATCCACCATCAGTCTCCAGGAGGCGTTTGATAAGTTGACGCCTGTGTCTGCAGGGATCATTGACCAACTCAGTGTCCTGCCTGGGAAAGATGAACCCATCAAGGTCTGAACCCAGATCATGTACTGTAACACTTTTGTTTTTAGTCCTTGACTAAAATGAGGTGTTTGAAGTGTTCAGTTACACATTTATAATTTCAAAAATGAAAATAGGCACTAGAATCAAGTTAAGCTAAATCATCAGGTCACATTTTATCCCATGTGGTTCCCTGCTGCGGCCTACTAAACCAGCTAGATGGAAAACTGTTACTCAGCCTCACTTGAGATGAATTAACATTTTCCTTTAGAGCACAATTTCCTATTCTGAGAATTCAAAATGGCTGCTTTGTAAAACATTCTTAGTGCCATTATTGTTTAGTTGATGTTGTATCTTTTCCTCCCTCAGGTGACAGCCAGTGTGTACATCCCCTCTCAGGGTCGACTGGTGTGCGGAAGAGAAGATGGCAGCATTATACTGGTACCTGCCACTCAGACCGCTATTGTCCAGCTGCTGCAGGGGGAGCACATGCTGCGCAGAGGTGAGGGAGGATGAACACAAGGAGGGAGGAATATCCAGGGTTGAGAAAATAGAAGCTTGCTCATCATCAAAACCTTTTCAGAATCAGAATCTGCTTTATTTGCCAAGTATAGTATGTTGAACATACAAGTAATTTGACTCTTGTACAGTGGCTCTCAATGCATTTTCATAAGCCAACAAGATAAATACACTATGTGCGTTTAAATAAGAAAAAAAACTGGTTGGTTGGTGGATGACTGCTCTACCCACTGAACAACAGTAGGTAGAGCAGTTGTCCACCAACCAGAGGGTTGGAGGTTCGAATCACGGTGCCTACAGTCCACATGTCGAAGTGTCCTTGGGCAAGACACTGAACCCGCAAGTTGCCCCCGATGGTTAGAGCCATCGGTGTGAGTTGGCACCGCAGATGGCTGCCTCGGTTCTGTACCAGAAATAAATTCCTTGTGTGTAACATACTTGGCCAAATAAAAGTGATTATTATTATTATTATTATAAAAAAGAAGAAGAGACAAAAACAATTTATTCATAAATGTATGTACATACATACAGTGTGAAAGAAGCACTTTCAGACAAGAATGTACAGTGATTATATTTACAAATTATCATACTGAGGGTGTTTGCTGTGTTATACAGATGTACATGGATTAGTTGTTCATCAGTGTGATGGCCATGGGGCAAGAAACTGTCCTTCTGTCTGGTTGTTTTGGCACATAGTGACCTGTAGCGCCATCCAGAATGGAGGAGTTCAAACAATTTGTGTCCAGGGTGTGAGGTATCTACAAAAATCTTCTCTGCCCTCCTTTTGACCCGTGAGATGTGCAGGTCCTCTATGGAGGGCAGGCTGGTACCGATGATTCTTTCTGCGGTCCTGACTGTTTGTTGTCTGTTCCTGTCCTGTTTGATTACTGAGCCAAACCAGACAGTGATGGATGAGCAGAGAACAGACGCAATGATTCCTTTGTAGAACTGTATCAGCAGCTCCTGGGGCAGGTTGAACTTTTATTTATCAATTGACTTCAGACAAAGTGTAATAAAAAAGAAAAAACTAAATCAAATTAGTGTTTGGTGTCACGTTAAAACAACATCAGTTCTCCTTGGTACACTTGCTCACAGTTTTTAAGCACTTGGTATTTAGGTTGTTCCAGCATCTTGGTGAACCTGCTATAGTTCAGAATCAGTTTATTGGCCAGGTGTGATGGACACATGAGGAATTTGACTCAGGTACATCGGCTTTCAATGTGCAAACAGTAAACCAGCATAAGGCTGTGTAATATAACAAAATAGCAGTATTAACATCAACAAACAGTGCAAACAATGCAGAAAAAGCAGTATAAACAGACAGTAAACAATGCAGACAACAAAGGAATGTTCATTGAAATGAGATAATTAGGGATAAAAATAGAATACTTTAAACAGAGTACTAGAGACCTGTACAAGTCTGTATAATCTGTACAAGGTATATATACACAGGTATTACACTGAGGGTTATTGTCCAATCATACGGTCATTGGTTATGTTCGAAATTAATAAATTAGTCAGATAATTATTAGACTTTAATGTGTGTTAGTAATGCAGTTTAGTAAGATTCAAAGTCTGCTCATGTGTGCTCTGCTTCAAGGTTAGAAGATAATGATGATTCTGAAAAGTGTACCTTGACACCAATTGTTTTCTTGTATTAATCTTGTGTAAGAATTATGTCTGAATGTATGTTTTAGTTACACACCACGTATACAACATACACACACATGGCCTGAGCTGGCGCAGGAAGTACATCCTCTGCTGTGCCTTCTTGGTGATGGTCCTGATGTTGGACGTCCACTTCAGGTCCTGGGAGATAGTGGAGCCCAGGAACTTGTAGGACTTTACTGCTGATACTAAATCTGTGGATTTAGGCTGTGCCAGTGTCTTCTCTCTCTTCTTCATGTAATCCCACACTCTGTGATGATGAGATCAGACCCTCTGATGCAGGACACCTTGTTCATCTAATTTCTGCACATAGATCTTTATGACTCTGGCTGTGTGTTTGGGCTCATTGTAATGCTATAGAGCGAATTTATGACCAGTCAGATGCCTCCTTAATAGAACTGTGAATAATGGAAAATGGTCTTATATAGTGATTTTCTACGCATTGATACACATTCAAAATTCTTTACACTATTTCCCATTAGCACACACAAGTAAAACACAAGCATTCACACACCAGTGATATCACCAGGAGCAACTAGGATTCAGTGTCTTACTCAAGGAACCGCATAAACGAACCACCTACCCTCTGCTTAGGAGATGACCCGTGCTTCCTCCTAAGCCACAGCTGCCTCAATAAGAATCTAAACATCAGAAGTGCCTACAACATTTGTACATCAATGTATACTTGCATCAAGTAAATGTTAAAAGAGTAGTTGATTAGGGTGTTATGAGAGGTTGGTCTGAGGCATCTCTACATGCATGCTAGACTGCAGTCTAATGGAGAGGGGCCTTTTCCTCAAGATTTTCTGTATTAATGGAAATACAGCAATAATGATGAGTATTTAAAAAAAAAAAAAAGAGAAGTCTGGAACCTTAGGTAAATAAGAAAATAATGTGAAGTCCCTCCTGAATATCAAGATATCAGGCCAAACCTTATTGTTCAGCCAGATATAAAACATTTTTTTGAACAAAATATCCTAATAATCTCAGTTAACTTCTTTCAAACCAAAAACACAAAATACTAAAAGAAAAACAACGAAATCTTCTGGCAGCAGAGTTACTGTGCTACTGCTGCTCAGGTTCATCTCACCATCCACTCCCAGTGTCTTTCTCATGTCTTAGTCCATTCTGAGCGCTGTGTCTTTTTGTCCTGCAGGCTGGCCTCCCCATCGTACCCTGCGAGGTCACCGGAACAAGGTGACGTGCATCATGTATCCATACCAGATCTCTCCCCGCTATGACCAGCGCTCACTGGTGTCCGGAGGAGTGGACTTCTCTGTCATTGTCTGGGACATTTTTACTGGAGAGATGAAACACATCTTCTGTGTCCATGGAGGAGAGCTCACTCAGCTCATTGTTCCACCTGAAAACTGCAGCGTAAGACCTCTGAAATGTACCTCTGTGTTGGTTTCTGCTGTGTTTTCCTTTCCACGTTCCTTTTTTCCCATAACAAACAAGGCAACCTGCTAGACAAAGGGCTCTTAAAATACAACTAACCTGCCCACAATCTTCTGCTGTGCACTCAGGTGCACTTGTTTGGATCACTGATACCTGCTGTGTTTCCTCTGCAGACTCGAGTGCAGCACTGCATCTGCTCAGTGGCCAGCGACCACTCTGTTGGCCTGCTCAGTCTCAGGGAGAGGAAGTGCATCATGCTGGCGTCGCGACACCTCTTCCCCATCCAGGTCATCAAGTGGCGTCCTGCAGATGACTACCTGGTGGTGGGATGCTCTGATGGCTCTGTCTACGTCTGGCAGATGGATACAGGTGAGAAGTGGTTGACAAGGTAGGGGACAGGCCCTCTTTTTTGGCACGAGGTGATCATCTATCATGAAAGCGCTGCTGCCGATGCTATATCTATCCATCCATCTATTAGCTATAATGCTTATCCTGAAGAGGGACACGGGGGGGTGGAGCCTATCCCAGATGACACTGGGCGAGAGGCGGGGTACGCCCTGGACAGGTCGCCAGTCTATCAATAATAGTCTATAATTTTTTTTAAAGGATTCTTCGCCATTGTGAAATAGGGCCAATTTCAATATTTTGTGTTTCTGCCTACAATACTTGGACAAAAATTACACAATACGTTCTGTCACACACTGCCGAAGGCTGATCTGGATCCAAGTAATATTCTGGATGTGGTGATACAGAATACAAAATATGCATCAACATTAAAATCAGTATGAATTCCAAAAGATTCACTACTGCTCCCTACACCTAGTTAGTTATGCGCTCTCTTTCTTTTATCTTTTTAAAGGGCTCTCTTTGCCCACTGATGTTCATTCTCTAATGCTTCTAAAGCACTGTTAGGTCTACTAAATCTGTCTCCATAAATAGAGTTAAGGTGCCACAATTGTTGAGAATGGTTCTTTCTAAAGTCTAAAGAATAAGGAGTATTCTCTGCTCTGAAACGCTGTGTGTTGTGTAGTACTGTGCCTGTGTAGAAACCAAAATCTATATTCACAAACTGTGTCCAGCAGTCCATGCGACAGAGTAATCCAGGTTGATGGAAGTAAACAAGAAGTTGTTGTGCCTGCTGTAACACTTGAATATACTTGTATGTCAGGATTTTGACTTTTTTAATTACTTTTGATCAGAAATATTTCCCTGAAGATCATGTTCAGCCTGCTGCATGTTTAAATTAATGAAATTCTATTGAGTTAAAGGGCATAATTTAAAAAACTTTTATATATGTCATCTGTTGTCCTAACAATAAAGTTGAATTAAATTTTAATTTGATTTTTAAAAACTCCCAGGAAAATCTACAAGCATGTGCCGCATGCAGTTTGACTTTAATTCATCTCATCTGATCTCTTCTCAGCTGGGAACTGCAGAATGTTTCTTGACCAAAATTCCACTTTAACTATTTCATTTGTTTTAAATTTTTGTCAGGCAATTGTTTCATCAGATTACAATGTATGAACTATGAATTGCAAGCTTGTTTTGTATAAGCTACTGATTATTTTCGGCTGATGGTATTTTTTTCCACAGCACTGTCACATCCAAACCATGAAATTTAGATCGAGGCCTGGCGTTCATGTTTTTTAGCCGTGCTAGCAACATGGATCAAGGAATGGCATTGACAGTCTGTTGACTGGTCTCAACTGAATATTGCTCACTTTATTGTACAGATATTCATGGTCCCCAGAGGATAACTGGTAATGGTTAATTGTAAAGGTCAGTATTTATCTTGTGCTTTGGTTTATACAGTACGTCTGTAGTAAACATGTATGTTGCACAGCATAGAGGTAACATTGCTTGAATGATAACTATCACCTTTATTTGGCCAACTATGTTACACACACAATGAATTTGTTTCTGGTACAGAACTGAAATGATAACTATCCACTGAAGAGTCCAGGTGTGTGTGTGTGTGTGCGCATGTGTTTGGTGGCCTGAATGAGCTGTAGTGCTGGGAGATTGCAGGGTAGCTAAGTGTGAAATTAAGGAGTGTGTGTGTGTGTGTGTGTGTGTGTGTGTGTGCGTGTGTGCATGCGCACTCAGGCCTTGGACATATAATAAGGCCATTGCTCACAGGCCCTTCATCACACACACATACACACAGGTATAATGGTGCCACTTCTCCTCTCACTCAATACCAGAACCAATACTGATGTCAGCTCAGTGTGCAGCTAATGATGTCTCTCTAAAGCTTTCTCTCTTTCTGTCAACTCTATCTGTGACCTGAATCATATTCAAGAGACAATAGATGATACTGAGTGTTGAGACCAGCTGAATGGGGGATGGTGTGCCAGAGATACTGGGAGATTGATATAAAAAAAGTTTAAGACCAAGAAGAGAAAGACTGGTAGAAATGGAGAGCAAGTGTGGGATAGAGAGAGCAAGCATAGCTAGAGGGAGACAGATAAAACTACACTCGATTTGCCCTCTGCGTATCCTGGTACACTATGCTATATACTGTATATATCTGCTATATACATGTACATAGCAAGTAAACACATTTCTGTACCGGAGTTTCATTAATTGGTACAAGGTATGCCTGTTTCATTGGTGTAAGGCAGGATTTCTTTTATTGGTTTGTGTTTGCAGGAGCCTTGGACCGTTGTGTGATGGGTATAACAGCAGTGGACATCCTGAACGCCTGTGACGAGCTAGCTCCGGCCACCGTGGACGCTCTGAGCCACTCGGCTGTGAACCTGAAGCAGGCCATGACTCGCCGCAGTCTGGCAGCACTGAAGAACATGGCCCAGCACAAACTGCAGACGCTTGCCACCAACCTGCTTGCTGCAGACAACGCCGACAAGGTACGAACAACTAAGACCCTGTTTATGGTTGCAAGATCGGAAATCAGATGTGTTTGTAGTTGTCTGAACGGCCACACTGAAATGGCAGCCATCATAGAAAGGAATCCTTACAATGTATAGTCATTAAATAGACAAACACAAGGCCAGACATGTCTCAGCCAGACCGCTGGCTGAAGTCACAGGCCAATTAAAACACCGCTGGAGATGAGCCAAGGTCAACACTACAGCCAGTGTGTGTGTGTGTGTGTGTGTGTGTGTGTGTGTGTGTGAGAGAGAGAGAGAGAGAGAGAGAGAGAGAGAGAGACCAACGGTGTCTCCAGCGAAGGATGAGCTATCTGGCAAAAAGGTTAAAAAAAAAAAAAAAAAAGTGCATCATTTTTTTTTTTCCAGAGCTTGAAGGTTTAAAGGAAAAATCTGCTAAAACAATGTGAGACACTGCTGCAGAATTTATTCATTGTTACCTCCTCTTGTACAGACAGTGTCTCCCAAGATATGTTAAGAAGCTGTTAGAAGCTGATTCTCCTCATCTAGACAATGGAAAAAATTGTTGTACTGCCATCAGGTGATATTTCTGTACAGAAAAAGTCAGGAGAATTCCAATGTCAGTTTTCCTGTAACAATGGACCAGACTAGTGTCCCTAATAGTTAATCAAGACTATACTGATATTATACTGAAATCAGTTCAGTCTTCAGTCCACATTTGTTAATGTGGAGCAGCTTGTCAGGTTGGTTGGTTCACTTATCAGACTCAGATCGGATCGACCCTGATGGAGGAAACAGAAAACAAACGCTATATAATTGAGCATTTCAACAGGATTTAGCTCAGCTCTTGGTGCAGTTTGACTTAGAATCCATTCAGCTCGGCATCCCTTCTCTTCCTCTGTGCAGCTGGTCCTTTTTCCTTCTCTGCCCTTCCACCTAATCTTTGTGTTGTTTCTTTTCCCCGTGTGTGTTTTATTGTAGGTGTCTCTTGGGTCTTTCCTGCCATAACTGCCCATAATCACAACTCTTTTCTGAAAAGGTCAACACACAACAGCTGCAGTCTTTTCTCACTTTTCCATCAGAAATACATCACTGTTCTATTTTCTTCCTCCCACCTCTGCGCCATTCTCTCTCATATCTACTCAAATTATGGGTCAAAACCACTCACTGTCCCTGGTGTGTGTGTGAGTGTCTGAGTACTCCCCTGCTGTGTAATAACACATAATGGCTATGAAATGTCAGGCTAGTGAGCCCAACATTACACCCAGCCAGCTGCAGGCCTTTAACTGTGTGTGTGTACAGCTGATGTTTGTTTGCTGTTGACATCTCATGTTGTGTGTGAGGAAGTCGATGCTTGACTTTGAGTTTGTCCTTTGATACTTTTGTTTAACCTGCTGATCTGTGAATGTGTTGGTGTCATGAAGGAAAAAAATAAATAAAAATAGGGCTGAAAACTTTTAGTCATCAAGAAAATTAATCAGCATCAATTTATTATAATGAGTTTATTGTTTCCAGTCATTTAACGGTTGGACGGATAGTTTAGGAAAATGATATTTCAAGGCATAATTTTAGGTTCTCAGAGTTTATTTACATTTTAGATTTTTCCTCACTCTGCTTTTTGCTCTAACTTAATTTAAAAAAAACTGTCCACTTCAGTAATGAAAATTAGATTAATAAAAAAAATCAGTCATCATGTTTCTGATGTAGCTCATAAAACGAGGACTACAAGTAGACAGTTTATTTTTATATGGCATCTTTTCATTTCATATGCAAAATGCTGCTCAGTTGATAGTAAGGAGTAATGACTGAAAAAATAGGAAGTTTAAAGGGATAAAGTGTAGGCCTACTGTAAATGCATTCAAATAGAGGACTTGGTTTAAGGTCAGGGTTATAAAGGTCAGGGTAAGTCCTCAAGAAATGAATGTAAGTCAGTGTAAAGTCCCCACGAGGAATGAAAACAAAGGTATGTGTGTGTTTTGCCAGAAGGGCCCTGCAGGACAGTGGCCTTTAGACCTACTTCTGAGGAGCTGTAGGACAGTGCGTGCGTGCGCGCGTGTGTGTGTGTGGATAAGATGTCAGTTTTTCAAAAACACAATAGACACAGAACAAGCCAGAGTGAATGTTCATAATCTCCTTATTTCCTGCTCAGTTCACTTAGGATATCTCACAAATGTTTTTTCTTAAAGCCCAAAACATTCAGATTAACATCAAACCAAATATTTACCCCTTGTTTTTGAGTGTGTTCATTCAGCCTAAGAAAAGATTTAATATCAATTCAGTCAGAAAATCTTTCAAAAACACGTGTATATGAATGTAATGTGGCTGTTAGCCTTTAGATGGCAGTGTTCATCCACCAAAACAACACACACACACACACACACACACACACACAGACACTGGAAACACACACACACACACACACACACACACACTAAAATATTGCAATTAGACACAAATATTGTGCTTTTGTCAGTTTAAAAACCCTTGTATCCCCAAATCATCTAACGTCTTTAAACTATGCTCACAGTGTCCACTGAGGAGAGTGCACAGCTTTCATGGCATGTGTATCATAGTGCAGACACTGGTTTCCATTGGCTGTCTTTGTGAAAAAGCTCTGACTTGGAATCAAAACTCTCTTTGAATAGATTAATAAACCCCCTGTACAGAGGAGACCGGCCAACAATGTGGCAGAATTGTGCGACTCCAGAACACATGCATTAACACACATGTATACTTAGACACATGCACAAATATACTTACCCTCATTTACACACAAACACAGAGAGTGAAACAGAAAAACAGCATCACAGCTTTGACAGGAAAGTCTTCCCTGAGGGCTGGTGTGAGTGTGTGTATATGTCCCAGCTGCAGGTGCATTGTGTCTTGGTCAGTCTGGAGTCTCCAGCAGCTAATTATTGTTGGTTCTCTGCCTCTCTCACACAGTCACATCTAGCTCTGTTCAGTAAGCTTTATTGGCACAAAAGGTTAAAAACAGAGCTTCTAAAACCAGACAGCGCAACACAGTGAAACATCAGTGGTTTAAATAACAACAGTGATAGCAAGAATATAGATAAAGCACCTAAATCAAGCATTTCCTGACATACAAATACAAACATTAGGACAAGAGCAGAAACTGTTATCGGGTGTCTCACTCTGGATTTTGACTGTACTTGGGTTCTGAAATGCTAAAGCAGTATGTCTGCAGTGTGAACTTTAGTGCTAAACGAATTAGTCAATTTATTGGCTGATCCATTTTTATCAATTGAACAAAAATACAAAACATTCTCTGGTCCCAGTTTCTCCAATGTGAGTATTTGTGGCTTTTATTTTTCTGGTTCATACCACTGTGAACTAAATATATTTGGACTTTGGACTGTTGGTTTAAAAAAGAACGTTTTCCAAGTGAAGCTAAGACTTATCTCCTTATGTAAAATGAGACGTATATTAACATAACACAACAGAGACTGGGACAGGTAAAATGCTGGGCAGACACCATGCATTTTTAATTGATCTTGTACATCTGCCTGGCTTGAAACAAACTGACCACATCGCCCCTCATGCAGAAGGAAAGTGCTACAAGAGTTCAGAACAGCAAATGAAAAATCTTTCATGAAACACACACAGTCTGAAATATTGCTTGGCCCCTTTTTGCTCTTTATTTCCTCACTCCATTCTTCCCGTTATCACCCCCTGCCCTCATTCCTTCTGTTTTCCTTACCTCCCTCAGAGTTGGACTCTAACAGGATCACGGTGGTCTGATTGCAGTCATCAGGTCATTAACATGTAAACTAACAGCAGTGCTTCACATACAGCTCTATACAGGTGTCTCTGCTAATGCAATTAAAATTGAATGGCATGTCAGCATGTAGGGCAGTTACAGCTGATGGTGTGTTTGTGTGTGTGTTTGTTGTGCATCTGTGTGTATGACAGTTTGTGTTTCAAGGGATGCCTGATTCAATTCTCTGAAGTAGTAACAATGCTGTTATTTGCTTTTTAGAAATGTGTTTCTAAAGAACAGACATTCATCACGGTTTCCTTTTAAGTCTTTTTATTTTTAGTTTTTAAAGTTTGTCTCTCTTCTCCAGGGCAATCTACCGAAATACTCCCATAATGCCCTTGTGGTCCAGGCGATGAAGACAAACATGACGGACCCTGACATGCACGTGTTGTTCTTTGACGTGGAGGCAGTGATCATCCAGCTGCTGACAGAGGAAGCTCAGAGACCGAACCCCACACTGGTGTCTCCAGAGACGCTGCAGAAGAGCCAGGCAGGAGCCGACAAAGGGGGGTCCTTCCTGGCAAATAAGATCTTCAAACAGGTCAGCAGCACCAAAAAGCAAAAGAAGGGAGAGTCTTGAACAACTGAAATCAGTTTGTTTTATATTGGCTAATATACACATCTTTGTCTTCATTTCTTTCTTTGTTGTTTACCTTTTATGTCTGTCTTCATTTCTTTCTTTGTTGTTTACTTTTTATGTCACTCTTGTATTACTCTTTTTAACATTTTATTTTGGAATTTTTATCCAAATTGTCTCCTGTCCAAACCAGGTGAAGGAGACGATGAAGGAGACCATCAAGGAGCACCTGCTGGATGAAGATGAGGAAGATGAGGAGGAGATGAGGAGGCGTGAGGAAAAGTCCAAGTCTTTGAGTCTGCTGGAGTACAATCTGACGATGGACACGGCCAAACTCTTCATGTCCTGCCTGCATGCCTGGGGCCTCAACCAACAGCTGGATGGCATCTGTCTGGAGCGACTGGGCATGCTCAGACCACATTGCCCCATCTCGTTTGGCTTGATTTCCAGAGGAGGTCACATGTCCCTCATGTTGCCCACCTTCAAGGTACACCTGTCTGTTCTTGTTCATTTGTGTTTGTTCATTCATATTCAGCTCCAGCTGTTCAGATGAGAGATTTTCCTACTTTTTTCATTTAGAAATTAAATAATACTGTTTTGTTTTTAAAGTGTGGATAAAGCAAAACCAGTGATTTGTTTCCAAACACATGATAAATGTTAGAAAATAGTTGCTTAAAGTGTGAAAAGACTGAGAACTTTGTAGTGCTGAATTGTTGAGTTAGACCATTTTATCATTTTTGATTTTAGGATTTTTTGGGTGGGACGGAAAACATGGCTCGATGCACTGGAGCCATCCTTAACATAGCGCCTCCCCCCGACACTGTAACGTTAGAAATCCTATAGCGCACGAAGCTCTATGCCTGAATTTGTTTTTAGGGATGCTCATGACACTGAACACAGACGAAAAGTTACGTTGTTGAAGTTGTTTTTTAGAAAAAATAACATTTATGCTGCTGCTTCAGTATTAAACAAAAGTAGGAGAACATGAAGGGTGAATGTGTTGGAGCAAGTCTGAACCACTGTAGTTCATGGAGGGAGAGAGAGGTGAGGGAAATAATGGCTACACAGCGCACCCTGCAGCAAAATGCTCCTGTAGATCCCTATCGCATAAGCACCAGTTCTCCTGTTTTATCGTGAGATTCTACATCTACTACAGCCTGGCTATGCCTTTGCTCTGCATTAGCATCTTTCCTATATTGTCTCTCTTAATACATCCATGATGAAAACAGGCCAAAGGTCAAAGTGTTTATTTGTCATATGCGCAGTTAGGAAACGTGCATCCCTGTACAATGAAATTCTGCACAGGCAGCACATTTCCGTGATTAGGCGCAGTTACATGTAAAGTGTCTTCACCCGACGCACCCCCAGCGTTTCAGAGCAGAGAATACTCCTTATTTTTTATGATTTGTAAAGCTAATTTTATACACTTGGCAATATTTTTAATCTTAAATTTGTCTGCGTAGTTAGTAACACATCTTCCTGTGGTGTGACAAACTCAGAGCATCTATTTCTTTCCACGTTTCCCTGACTTGTTTTTGGAATGTTAGTTAGACAAAGAGAGCTGCAGTATTATTTAATTCATTAAAAATGAAATTAATTAAATGAAATTAATCAATAGTATCCTTCCTAAATATTAAATGCTGTCAGGCATTAATTTCATAATGAAGAATGATTATATTCTATAGTAAGTGGATTCTTTTGGGAATCAATTTTTCCCACATCTCTAATATAAGTATTAATCTTGTATAGCACCTAGAAAAATTGTTTTTTTAATACTTAATTAATAATCAAATATTAAAACTGGTAGAGAAAAGAAGAAATGAACAGATACAAAAAGAATGTTCAGTTTAATCCTCTTCTGAATGATCACAGAGCAGTGAAATGGGATTTTGACAACAAACACATGGAACAGAACAGTGTCTGAGCAGGTCTGATAGCCTACGTTGACCTGTCTACAGCACACATCAGTATTTCCCGTGTCCCTGACACAATGTGAAATAGGTACAGATTTCCTCTTTGTCTCCTTCTGTTTCCCAGGAGTCCTTGCTGCGTCAGTTGTCCCAGGCGACGGGTCGGAGGCTGACTCTGTCGGACATTGTAGGGAAGGGGACGTACGGCGTGTCTAGGGCTGTCACCACTCAGCACCTTCTGTCTGTCATCTCGCTGGCCAACACTTTAATGGGCATGACCAATGCCACCTTTGTTGGAGAGCACATGAAGAAAGCACCGACCAGGTAACAGCCATATGCAGATGTACAACATCTGAATATGCTTTTCTACCTTTTTTATATTATAGTATATATTTTTATATACTAGTAGTTTTACTTAGAAGGAAGGCATCCAAAAAGTGTATTCTCTAAATGTAGAAGTAGGAAACTGGTCGACATGGAACACGCTAACATGGAATGATGCTTAGATATATGGAAAATGATGAACTTAGAACAATAATGTTAAACAATCATAATAAGTGAAAAAGGAAAAATAATGATTCCCTGCAACATCCATTCATCAGTTATGTCAAATAACCAATGTACAGTACATTGTCAGCACCATGTCTGTTCCCAATAAACCTGGTTTGGTCTGCATGTATGTGCTTGGGAAGAGTCTTGTCTAGTCTAAGTGCAGTCAGTGTTGCTTATACCTTGTAGTCGCATTTTATGCAGACAGTGGAGATTCAGTGGGACATCTTTCGGCGTGGCATTCGGCAAACTTTGGTAGGGTAATCTTCCATTTTCATGTTTGTCAACCATGCTAGCAATATTAGCCTGTTTCTTGTTTTCTTTGAGCAGCTTTGCCATTAGAGGAGCCACGGGCACCGTTAGGGGGGGGAAGTTAGGACAATTCTAAGGGCCCACAGAGACTAGCTTTGGGTGAGGTAGAGGGCCCAACTTCAAATTTTTCATAGGGCCCAAAACTGCTAGCGGCGCCCCTGAGAGGTGCTGTAGTTGAACACACTTAAGCTCAGCACAGAAACAGACACTCTGTTCACGTATACAATGATACCAGTAGCTAAAGTTCAACTACTGTCAGATCTGTGTGTGTGTGTGTGTGTGTGTGTGTCTGTGTGTGTGTGTGTGTGTGAAGCTAATTGTTTAGTCTGTCTGAGCTCTTATATGGCTGTGAAAGATTTAACATAGAGGTTGAGGTCCTGCTGCTCTAACACCAAATAGTCATTTCATTTTGGCAACAGAGAACAGAACAAGCCTGTAGGGAGGGCGAGTAAGGAAGAGTCAGAAAGAAAAACACACACAGAGCAGAAGGTATGTAGGGAAGAAAGGTGCTGAGGTGGTTTGTTTTTACCATCCTCCTCTGATTTTTGTTCACCAGTTTCAGTTTATAATTTAGTTTTCTTTGTGTTTAATCATCTAATACAGTTAAACAAGCCTGTAGTAAATAGCCCTGTAGTTTGGTCCTTCAGCAAGTAAATTGTATACACCGAAAGCTTTATAAACATCTTCTAAGGTCAAGGTGAGACAGATTTGATAGGAACTCTGTACCTCTGTAGAGTCCTGTCTAACACTAGTGATTACCAGGACCCTTAAGAGACAGTTAATACTGTCCAAATGTTGTTTTTCTTTTTTGTATCAAATACCTGGTTTACATCAGGCCCCCACTTTTCTCACTGCCACTCACGAGTCAAATCTAAAATCTCTCAAGGCTGAGCCACATCAGGTTTCAAGTACTTGGTCCAATTCAAATTTAAAGTCAATCAAGACAAGTCTCAAGTGTTGCAAAAGCCAGTCTGAGTCTTTGATGACAATTCCAAGTCAAGTCTCAAGTCAATTGAGAGAAGGCCTAGTCAAGCTAAGTCCAGGCCAGGTCCCAAGTCAAAGCCACTCTGAGGTCATTTGGTACTACTGGGCGGTTTAACGTCTTGCATTAATTGATACAAATCCCAGGTTAAGCCTCAAGTCCATGAAGGCAAGTTTTACATCTCAAGTCAACTGAGATAAGCCCCATGTAAAGGCTCAAGTCTTTTTTGAGGCAGATAGAGCAGTTAGTTCCCTAAGTGTAGAGTTGATGGTTTGATCCACAGCTTCTCCAGTCCAGGTGCTAAAGTGTTTTTGGGTAAGACACTGCAACCCAAGTTGTACCCAGTGGCCATCGCTGTCAGTGTTCGTGTGTGTGCAAATGACTGTCTGGCAGCGTTGCAGCCGTTGTTGTAAGTGTGTGTTGTGGGTGAATAGGCAAATATTGTAAAGCACTTGGAGTGTGCTTGAGCATGCAACAAAAGCACTACATAAATACAAGCCCATTTACCACTTGTAAACAAGTATGTCTAATCCCAAGTCCTTGAGGACAAGTTCACGTCAAGTCTCAAGTCTTTGAGCACAAAAGGAATTAATTTGTAAGGCATCAAGTATGTTTGCTGACCGTTGCTGCTTTAACATTTTATTGACTCAACTTCTCAGGACAATGATTGACAGTACTCCTAGGCAGTCATTTTGTACTTCAGTCGACCATGTTGGTATCCACATTTCTTACATTCATAGCAAGCAAACAGCGAAAACACCAACAAGTCTGACGTATCTTTCTGTTCATGCAGCTGTGATTTCCACAGTCAGAAAGATGGAAAAATGAAGTGTTTGAGGAAATGACATCTAGACTGCCAGAAATAAAGCACCACAGCAGTTAATGAAAGCTGTTTCTTATTTTTTCTCAGAAACAAAGAACTCCTCTTCTGTGGTGTGTCTAAATCAGAGCACATGATTGTGTAGCCACAGATGAAAGACTTCTTTTGACAGTTTAAACAAGGATCTTCTCTCTGGCTATCTCCATCTTGACACTCCACACCAGCGGTTGTGAATATTTGAAGGTGTTTGGGTTTTTGGCTATTTAATGTTTCCCATCTTACATTTATGACAGTAGAAATGCTTCCTCCCTATGGGTTAGAGTTTGACAACTTTTAGTGTTTAGTTTTTCATCACAGCAACAACAGCGGCAGTTCCTCCTCCTGCTCTTGCCTGAGGGCTTGAGTCCTAGAAGCCTTTCCATTTTGAAAAGAACCTAGACAAAAATGAACATGAAAAACACAAAAGCCTTCTATGTTTGCCTGGCTCTTGGTTTTGTTTTTTCTTAACCTCAGTCATTGCACGAGTGAGTCATATTAAGTTCATTCAGCCTTCACACTGTACATCCTATACCAAATCCATCTTTTTCATGCCAGTTTGGAGATTTAGCTGTTTGCCCACTAGTCAGATGTTTTAAAAAATGTGTTTAATTGAATGTAGTCTGAAGCTGATTGTATATCATTGAAGATATGGTATGTTGAAGTATTTGTACCTCTTCTATTATATTCTAGTTAGCATTTACGCTGGCTGCTCTGGGTTTGCAGAGCAGATGAAGACAGTTTCAAATTGAAGGTAAAGAAGGGCACATCTAAATACCCATAATTTAAGCAAGACCCATAAAGAATGATTTTCACTTTTCAGTAAATACCTACAATACTTGAGAATGTCCAACAGTTTCATTTTAATTCATTAAATTTGCCTTAAAAATGTATTTGTGTTGTCTAAGTACACAATTTCTAAGTGAAAATGAATGGATTTAGATTTTAATAGGATAATAGCCTTAAGCCCCATTTACCAGTTAATGCACACATTACACATGCAGATATAAAAAGCAGCAGTCAGATAACATCATAAGCTGCACCAGCAAGCCACTTACTGAATTTATTGAGACTGATAAAGTCTGATATCAAATATAATTCACATAAACTCATGAGGTCTGAGCAGTAAAATTAGGTTTGGTGACCTGCCATAATCAAAAGCTAACTGTAGTTCTTCAGTCTAAAAAGTTATTTGCTTTTATTTTGTTACCATGTACCCTTGTACCGTTTTTGCTGTACTCTCCATTCACCGACGCACAGCAAAGAAACACTGCCAGTGAAAACAGTTTTGTGCTAAAGAAATCTGTTAGTAAAGCACGACCTGCTGCCAGCATTTTGAGGTCTCTGAATGTGGCGCATTAGGTTCAGCA